AGGCAGCATGCTCTATCCAGTCTTGATAATCCTCGCTCCTTCTTGGGATCTAGTCTGAGGGACACTCTGGGGTCTCGGAATGCAGCGGTCCGTTTTTCGGGGTCGATTTTCGTAGACATTCCAGCTCGAGCGGAGGTTGAGAGGCCAGAGAGGGCACCCCAGTGGAGCTCACGAGATGGTCAAGAAGGCCGGGTCCATGAAGCCTGGCGCCCTGAAGGCCGGCGCCCCGATGAGGAGGCGCGCCGCCACTCGCCTTCGGAAGATCTTCGAGGATTCGGAGGAGGAGTGGGAGGAGATCCCCGAGACCCTGTACGAGGTGGACCTGTCAGACGAGACCATGACGTAGGATCAGCGCGACAACCTGAACTCGGGGCTGGAAACATTGGCCCCTCCGCTACTCCGCTGGCGTCGGGCCGCGCTGAGGCTCTTGCACATCGCTACGCTGTGCCGCGGTGTACACGGGATGGCGACGATTGGGCCCCAAGCAGTCGAGATGAAGTTCGACGATCAGGAGAGCTGCGTTCACCCACCGTGGGCGGTCAGAGAAGGGATGAACGGCACCTCGATTTACAGTCACTGCCAGATGTGCAGGGCCCGGCTAAGTCTACGAGCCAAGACACCGGCCGAGTTGGCCGCGGCCGAGGCGAAGAAGAGGGCGAAGGAGGTCAAGCGCGAGGCTGGCTTGAGGCTGAAGGCCGAGGTCAAGCTGGCGTCCGAGGGGTACCAGGGGACTCCCTCCGATCCTTGGTATGCACAGCCGGTACCTCACGAGCCGTCACCTCCACGGGCACCAGGCTCGAGGTCGAAGGCGCCCCCAAGTTCAGTCAGGACTCCCGGCAGCTCGTCGCAGATGTCGGTGGAGGAGGCCCGTCGCGTGATTCAGCAAGCCGGGGGGCACCTGGAGCCGTCTCAGATACCAGAAGATCTGCCGAGGACGGCATTCAAGAGCCCTCCTGCGCAGCCTCCACCACCGCTTGCTCCAGGGACGAGGTCGACCTCAGTATTAACTCCTCAGCAGCTCCAGTCCGCGCAGATGAGGATGCTGTTGGATCAGATGCATCGGGTGGCGGAGCAGCTCGCGTCCGCGCAGGAGAACCTCGCCGCCCAGGCTACCAGCTCGCGAGACCTGCCGCTGGCCGACGAGGACATCGCGCGTCTGGCGATTCGTCTGCGGGACGCCGAGGACACTCAGAGGACGCACGACGAGGAGGGCAACGAGAAGCTCTACCCTCCACGTGGCTGACCCTTGAGACCTGGCCAGAACTGACCCAGAAGAAGGCCATTAGGAAGTTAGGTTCGGGTTCGGAACCCCAGGATGTTACTCTCCGGGATCTCTTCGTCCAGGAAGCTCGGGACAGAAAAACCTCAGGAGCTCCGGCAGCTCCAGGATGCGGTCGAGGGATCTGGGACCGAGTGTAAGGCAGAGAGGTTTCGATAGACCAAGTGTCTCTCGAGCTTGGATGGAAACAGACGACCCTGGGGCCCTCGGACCAGTCAGCTTTCTTCGTCGGGGTTGCCCTCGCCGCCGCCGGAGGAGGCACGCCTGCTTCACTTCTTCCATCGGGCATCCATAGAATCCGGCTTCGAGCCGAGGACTCAGTGGCGTACGATTCGCTCTGGCGCCGCGCTTCATATGCCGCCATCGGGCACGTCTTGGGCACCAAAAGTAGTTCCGATATGCTCGTGGATGCGTGGGTCTCCGAGGGCTCGAGCAGAAGCGAGGAGGAGGAGGTCAGAGGAGGCAAGCAGAGGAAGCAGGAGGGATTGGGGCGTGCTTACGTGGTCTCGGGCTTAGAGGTTCTTAGCGAGCCCCTTAGGTATGCAGAAGAGGACCTTCAGAGGCCAGGCATGCAGGCCAGGCACTTAGACCTCGAGCTGGGGCCTCAGGATAAGCACGGGACCTTGGCGTCTCGATCAGCTTGGCCCCTAGAGAGGCCATCATCGGACGATGACGACGATCGCGACGAAGAATGTGGCACTAAGGATATCCGGGGCCGATACTACGTGGTGGAGGTGGACTCCTTTGCGGCTTCCGGCCCTCGCGATTCAGTCGAAGAGCTCGAGACTAAGATCACACCTCGGGAAGTGCGTCGAGCCATCTTGGGACCTCTCGGGGAATCCAGGGTCGGCGGAAGGCACGCTGACCGAAGGTCTATACTGCAGGCCGCGGAGGCCAAGCGACGAGGCACCGTTGTTTTGGAGGTCTTCTCTCCTCCACGCGTCTCTCCCGTGCTGGCTCGGAGAGGGTGTCGAGTCTCTGCCGCGGTGGATATCAGGACCGGTCAGGATCTCGACAGGCCCCAAGAGGTTAAGAAACTGTGGGATCAGATACGATCGGAACGCCCCCAGTGCATTATTATGTCCCCCGTCTGTCGCGCGTTCAGTGTGGCTTTCGCCAGTAACTGGGGTCGCATGGACTCGGCTCGCCAGGAGGCGGAGGAGAGAGGTCTTGCGTATATGCAGTTGTGCTGCGAGATTGCTCAGCATCAGGTGAGGGAGGGAAGAGACTTTATCATAGAGCATCCTCAGTCTGCGAGCTCCTGGGAGCTGGAAGCGATCCAGGTGCTGACCAGGATCCCCGGGGTCGTCTTCCAGGATCTGGATCAGTGCGAATACGGCCTCTCTGTGGCTCCTGGGACCCTGTCTAAGAAACCCACCCGACTTCTCGCCAGCAGGGAAGTCCTCTTGGGGGAGCGTCGCAAGAGATGTTCGGGGAGTCACACTCACCTTCCCCTCGTGGGGAGCGCCAGGACACGCAGAGCGGAGAAATATCCTTCCGCGTTGGTCTCGGCGCTGGCGACGGGGATTGAGTCGGCTCTCTGGCAACGGGAGCTCGCTGATCGTGACCGGGCGCTCGCTTGTCCAGCTGAGGTCCTGATTCCGCCAGCCTCAGTTCCTGTGCCCGACGGAGCGGGCGCTCCCGAGCTCGATGACGAAGAGACGGTTACCAGACCTAGCAGGAAGGTTTCGGGGGATCAGGAGACCCGGGAAGTGGGCCCCGGGGTCCAGCAGGAAATCCATCGTCTCCATGTGAACCTGGGCCACCCTCCCCTCGACGATTTTGCGTGGACGTTACGGATTGCGGGGGCTCGAGCGGAAGTGGTCGACTGGGTTCGGAAAAGATTTCACTGCCCTCAGTGTGCCTCCCAAGCCCAGCCATACTGGCGAAGGAAAGCTCACCTCCCCCGAACTTACAGATTCAACCGTCTTCTCGCCATAGACCTGTTTTATCTCGAGCACCAGGGAGAGTCCCTAGCGGTTCTCAACATGGTCAATCATGGAACCAGCTACCAGCAGTGCTGCCTCCTGGAGGATGCCCGAGCCTCCACCGTGTGGGCCGCCCTGCTGCGCTGGTGGATTCGACCGTTTGGGCTCCCCGAGATGATTCTCTCAGACGGAGGGCCTGAGTTCGGTGGCCATTTCGCTCGGTCCTGCGAACGCCACGGGGTGTATCACCAGGTGACTCCAGCGAACTCTCCGCATTTAAATGGCAGATGTGAGCGCCACGGAGGAATCGTCAAGCAAGCGATGTCTAGGGCGGCTCTTTCGGTCACTCCCTCCTCGCGAGAGGAAGTGGATCTGCTTCTTTGTGAGGTCGCCCCAGGCAAGAATCGGACGTATCACAGAGGGGGGTTTAGTCCAACTCAACTTGTCTTTGGGGGGAATCCCAGAATCCCTCGGGCCTTGATGACTGATGACGCTGTTGATGAGATCCGGATTGACGACCTCCGGGCCAGCTCTATAGATCAAGACACTGCTGCTGCCGCCTTCGCTCGTGCCCACCAGCAAAGGACGGAAGCGCGAAAGGCGCTGGCCGCGCATGGCGCCAAGGGGCGACTCGCCGAGGCGTCGAAAGCCAGAAAGCACGTCGATCGGACTCTTCAACCAGGTGAGTGGGTGTATGTTTGGAGAAAGATCACGTCTTCGAACAGGACTCACGAGTTACAGCGTGACAGATGGACCGGTCCCGGGGCCGTCGTGTTTCAGTCCAGAAGTACGGTCTGGGTGGCCATGCGACACCGACTGTTGAAATGCTCGTCAGAAGAAGTCCGACCAGCAACCAGACCAGAGGCTCTGGGCGCGGAACTTCTGGACAACCCACGATTCGACCATATTAGACAGGAGCTCCGGACCCCAGGGGAACGCGTGGGGGCCGTCGATGTTGAGTCCGAGGGACCGCCTCCGCCGGAGGCGTGGGACGTCCCAGGCGAAGAGGGTCAGCTCGACCCCGAGCCCGAGAGGCCTCGAGGTGCCGGCCCCGGCGGGGCCTCCCGTCGTTGCCGAGTCGGAAGGATCGACTCGGGCTCATCGGGATCCCAGGGATTCGGAAGCTCCGTCCACTGCGGGGGCCGACGCCCCGAATGAGAGAGAACCCCCCCCTGAGGTTATTGAGGTCCCTTCCGAGGCGGAAGATGCGGCGGAAGCTCCTGCGCGCCCGGCGCCGCGGAGGCTGGCGGAATCCTCGACGGAAAGCGGCCCTCCCCCCAGTAAAGCCCGTAGAGAGGAGGCTCTTCGAGAGGCCTCAGCTGGGACCCCAGGGATCGCTCTCACTCCTGTGGAGAGCCTTTCGGGACCAGGGCCCGCTGCAAAAAGGGTGTCCGAGTGGGAGAGGGGGTCGGCGTCAACTTCTCAGAGAGCGACGGCAGGATCTGCATCTGTTGCCACCGCTTCGTCCGCCGACCGAGGTGGAACCTCTGCTCGGGCGCTGGGGCGTCCTAGGAGCATATCTCCTGTCCGCCCGTCGGGCGTAATACCTAGTGACTGGCCCGAACCAACTTGGGGACGTAACGACCGGGGAGAAAGGGTGTTAGGTCTCGTCTGTGAGGAGCACTCGGAGGGGGAGTGCGACCAAGATCGATTACTTTTGAATGAGCTAATGGCTCGGGGAGTTACGTCAGACACTGCGTTCTTCGCTCTCCAAGGCGGAGAATCCTTTTTCCTTGATTTTGCGAACTGTTTCAGTGGAGTGGGCGTGGGGACCGCACCGGTACCCCGACGAGGAGCGGAGGTTCAACTTAAGAATCTGTCTCCAGCCGAGCGTCAATTGTTTGTCGAGTCTGACGCCAAGGAGTGGTCGGCCATGACGGCCACTGGTGCTGCGCGCGTCCTGAGCCCCGACGAGTCTCCTTTGGCCAGACGCCGCCATCCAGACAGAATCCTGTCGTCCAGGATGGTGCGCCGTTTCAAGCCGTCTGAGGGCGTGGGCAGTATGCCCACCGCGAAGAGCAGGTGGCGCGTCCATGGGCATCAAGATCCCGGCGGCGAGAGTTTACAAGTTTACGCCCCAACCCCCCAGTCAGAAACCATCATGGTGGCGCTACAGGTGATCGCCGCGATCGGGTGGGAACTTGGCATCGCAGATGCCAAGAACGCGTTCTGTCAGAGCAACAGATTAGATCGACCGAAGGGGGCGTTTTATGTGGAAGCGTGTGCTGGATTGAATCTTCCCCCTGAGACGTTAATAGAACTTGTGGCTCCAGTGTGCGGGCTGAATGATGCCCCGTTATTGTGGCATCGCACTCTCGCGGGATACCTCGAGGAGTTGGGTTTTGTGCGTTCTCTGCTCGAGCCGTGCCTGTGGCTCCAGAGATCGGCCAGTGGGAAGTTGCAGGCCCTGATTCTCATAGAAGTCGACGACCTGATCGTGTCAGGCGACAAGGTCGTACTGGCTGCTCTGAAAGAGAGTCTGTTCGCTCGGTTTAAGTTTGGCAAGTGGGAGGTCGGAGAGGCCGACTACGCAGGTAGGCACGTCAAGCAGGTTGGGTCCAAGATCACGGTCGATCAGGAGAAGTATATTCGTGAGCAGTTATCGTCGATCGTGATTCCCAAAGATCGCCGTTCCAAGCCAGAGGAGTTGCTTACGTCGTCGGAGATCGCGTCGTATCGTGCTACTGTCGCTCAGATACAATGGCTCGCTCGTGAATCGAGGCCCGATCTGGCCGGAAGTGCCTCCCTGTTGGCGGCGGCTCTCCCCTCTCCCTCGATCGAGGAGGCCTTGATGGCCAACAAGGTTGTCAAATTCCTTCGGGCGTTTGCGTCTCAGTATATCACGATATGGAATCTGGATCCGCTGTCGACCGCGTTTGTCACGGCGTCGGACGCCGGGGGCCCTGGATCCGCGAGGCGCGGGGGTGCGCAAGCTGGGTGGTTGGTGTTCGCGGCGGACGCCGCCATCCCGCAAAACCATCGGGCCCGGGTCAGCCTTTTGGCTTGGCGGTCGCAGCGTCTCAAGAGAGTAGTGGCGAGTACTATCGCTGCCGAGACACTTTCTTTGTCCGGCGCGCTGGCGGAAGCTCAGTGGCTTCAGATTTTGTGGAGAGACACGGTTTTCGGAGACGTGCCCAGGCCCGACTGGGCCTCCTCCTCCGGCCCTTTTTTTGTGGTCCTCTCGAAGCACTGTGAATTAGGCGACTCGGCGTCGTCTCTGTCGGTGGTGGACGCCAAAAGCGCGCTTGATACTCTGAGCAAGAACAGCGCGGGATCCCGCGCCGATCGTCGCAATGCTATTGAGATGGCGGTCGTGCGTGACTCTTTGTCCAATATAGGCTCCCAGTTGAGATGGTTGCCGCGTGGTCTCATGCCCGCGGATAGTATGACAAAGGTCGATCGCAGTCGTGGTAACGCTGCTCTGCACGATGTGCTGACACGTGGTACTCTCTGTTTAGTGGACGAGCACGGCCATTGCTCTGAGCGTGCGTTGAACCTGTCTTTGAAATCTCGTTCTCGGGCTGCGTCCCGTAAGGCGTTGGCGGCGCAGGCTAAGGTGCCCGGAGCTCCTGCCCCCGATTGCCTTCCCGAGGTCCCTGAGGGAGGCTACGAAGAGGTAGAGGGAAGCGAGGAGGTGAGGAAGAAGAAGACCGAGGAGTCAGGAGGTCAACGAGGAGGGTTTCTTAGAGAAGAAGGTATTGAGCTAGAACCCGGGTTTCCAGCTTACGTATCGATTACGGATTACGGATTTCGATCCACGAAAATAGGACCCGCTGTTTCCCGAGAGACCCAGAGGCCCTTCAGATTACTTCCGAGCCTCTCCCCCCTTGGATCTGTATCGTAGCCGTTAGGCTTAGCGTGTGAATTGATTGCTCGTCCTGGCCCTCGTTGCCCAAAAGAGTTCATCCGTTCTCTGCACACCTTGGTGCCGGTTTGCACCACATGTCCTCTCATTTGTGACACCTCCGAGCTCCCTCTTCATAGGCCCCTGCAAGGGTTCATTCCCACTGGGGGCAGTGCCCCGTTGGGAGACACACGTGTGAAACTCTGGAAGAGTGCCAGAACACCATGGTCATGATTTCAACGCCACGAAGCAACCTGACCTTTGTGTCTTGACGGCCCTGCGTCGGGCCAGAACGCAGTTCTTGAGATCTCAACACTGCGAATCAACGTACTTAACTGTGTCGCCCTGACAAGCTTGAACCGCTCCAAACCACAGTTCCTGGTACGTTAACCATGGGAAATGTGAAATTCTCGCAACTGTTAACGACGAGCATCCGCGGCGGTATGGCG